GTGTGTGTGTGTGTGTGTGTGTGTGTGTGTGTGTGTGTGTGTTTACCTGTTAGAGTGGTTCAGGGTAGGCCTGTCTTGGGTCATAGGTCATGTCAGGAATGTAGGGCTCGTGGAGGTCAGGATCTAGCGGCAGGCTGTCCAGAGGCACATCAGTGTAGCCATAGGGGGGGTAACAGCCATCTAACTCTGAAACACAGACGCAGGAGAGCACAGGCTGATCAGCCATAGATATTTCACAATGCACTTCCCAGAATATGCATATTTTCCATGTTTTATTAAAAATGAATGTGCAGCCACATATGTGCCACAACTAAATCTTTCACTCCCTAAAAATGCTGCATTCACAGCAGATGGGAATTGTCTGTGTCACCACCTGGTGTCTTAGAACAGACATTTGCTTGTAACTGTTGTTGTGTTGACTGCTGCAGACTGAACGATCAATACATTTAGTTGAATTATTACTAAGATATATGATAACAGACGTGTTCTCTGCTAAATGATCCTAATGCTGCACAGGATGAGATGTTTACATGTTTACAGTGAGCTTAGTTAAGTTATGGCATAAGAGATGGTGCAAGTGAACCTAGTGATGAGTTTTGTGTGAAACTAACTAGGTACAATGCAGCAGTTAGTGTTGACATCAAATGCATGTTCCGTTATAAAAGACATATGTACATGTAACGTGTAATCTGCCATTTTCCAGCTAAAAGTCAACTTGTTTGTGCCGACTAAAACCTTGCACATACAACAACAATAAACCCTGGTTTACTGCAGAAGTCAAACAGCTTAGTCAGGCCAAAGAGGAGATCTACAGTAGTGGGGACAGGATCCTGTAAAACTGGGCCAGCAACACACACACAAAGGAGATCAGAGGAGCGAAGAGCAGCTACTCTATAAAAGGACTCTGCGTCAGTGTGGAGGGGCCTGCGGGACACCACCAGCTGTGACCAATGAAAAATACTGAGTGTCTTCTCTTTTAATTCAGGTTTTCTGAGAAATTAGAGTCAGTAAGTGCTTGTTATTATAAATTTAGATAACCTCAACCTGATGCCAGGTTTAAGGCACTTCAGCAGTCACTTCACTTTTCAGGACTGGAAGTTGCCGACTGCTGAACCCTAATTATTGCCTTCATTGTGAAGCATTCTGTAGGCACTTAAACACAAGATGTAAAAATCACAGGCCTGAGGATGAACGAGTGGATCATGAATGGAGGTTTTCGTAAGCTGTAACTCAGACACATTAGAATACTGAATAAATGAGTTAATTTGGCTCCGACAACTACACCATACAATCAGCACCTTCAACTGGCCTCCCCCTACAACTACTGACAGCTGTGTGTGTGTGTGTGTGTGTGTGTGTGTGTGTGTGTGTGTGTGTGT